AACAATATCTAATAGCACGAAGTAACATAGTAAAAACTATATTTTTCTTCATGTGCAACGGATGAATACTATTGAATGGCAAATAATATGGCTCATAAGATGATTTTTGAAAAATTGTAGTAAGCAGTTGACCATCTTGATTTTCTATATGTAAATCTAGAAAATCGGCTGCTACACCTATCTTTTCAGATAATTTAATATTTTCATCAAAATGATTCCATCTGTCGATTTGCTTAAATAAATGTCGGGTAGGCCAGTTTATTGCTACAAATATATCATCAATATATCTAAAATATAATCCATTACTATTGTGTATTTGTTTTATAATTTGCTGTTCATAAAAGAACATGTAGCAATTGGCGACTGTTAAGGTAAGGGGAGAACCCATAGCTCCTCCGCGAATTTGATGATAATATTGGCCATCATAAGAAAAATAATTATTTTGCATCACAAATCGACTTAATCTAATAATCGTTTCAATCTTTAGACCAGCTACTTGTTTTAACTTTAAATAATCTAACATCTTTTTTAATGCCAGTACTCCTTCTATCTGTGGCACCATAGTATAAAGATCTGCTACATCAATTGTACAGAATAAAGTTTCTTGACGCATATTTATCATGGACCATTTTTGCAACTGTTTCATTAATTCAAAGCCAGAATTTACAGTTGTTTTTGAAGCCATTTCATCAAATAATGGTCTTAATAATTCATCAAGAAATTTTGATATTTTAACTGTAGGATGTTTGAGGCCCGAGACTATTGGCCGAAGAGGAGTACCTGGCTTATGAGCTTTAGGTAAATAATATAAATGTGCAAGTTCAACTTCACTTGGATTAATACATAATTTTTCATATTGTTTTTGAGTAATCCATTTAGCTAATCTTAAATCCAATAAATACTTATTTGTTCGCTTGGTTAAAATCGGTAATGGATCATTTGTTCCTAAACATTTATACGCTTGGGTTTTAGCCATATATTCTTCCGATTTCTTCTGATAATCTTCTAATTTACCTAAATGGAATACTTTTGATTTATCTGATTTTTGTAATACGACATTTGCCAATTTAAATTTATGTTTCAATCTTTTAACTAATCTTCCATAATTTTTCTTTTTCTTCATTTTAATTGTATTAACAAATTGTGATTGAGATAATTGACTATTTATAACTTCCATAATACTTTTATTTTGATTTATATTATTACCAAATAATGCATTTTGATTTAAATTTAAATATTTATCTATTACTGGAACATTATGTAAAGTTTGAAGAAGAACATCTAATTCAGCCATAAATTGTAGGAGTGGGCGGCCGGGGCTTACTTTCTTTTGGAAGAAACAATTTTCTAATTTACGTTTTAAAGTAGCCAACTCAGTTATACGCCGTCGAGCAGCTGTTTTTGGATCATTAAATATAAATTTCGGACCTAGTTTTAACAATTGATGTTCTTCTTCATTTAATTGAATATTAGCTTCGTTAATTATTGCTGGAGCAAGAAATCCTCGCCCAGCGAACGTATTACAGTCGGAGCGATTATTTCTTCTTGTATTTGCAGATTGTTGGTATCGCCCTCGACTTGCAGTTCGAATAAAAAATGCATCGATTGTTCAATTTCTAATTTCATTCTTTTCTGTCGTAATTCATGATATTGTTTAAAGGCTGCATAGCCAGGTTCAGCATCAAATCCATCATCATTATCTTGAGGAAATCTATCAACGACACCTTTAATTTCATTTGATAAGATTTCATTTTCTCGAGCAGCTGATTGAACATATAATGTCATTGCTTGAGTGCGAAAATCTTTGGTAATTTGACGCATTTGATTATACGTGGCTTGTGCTTCATCTTGACTTATAATTGATTCATCAATTTTAAAAGAAAAATCAACTTTTTCAATAATTTTTGGAGGCAAATCTAATTCAACACGTTTGGACAAGATTTGATAATTTTTATTCTTTGTAGACCAATTTTTAATTTTTGGTTTCAATATTAAATGAATATTCCATTGGGCTGGACTAGCTATTTGTTCAAAATCTTCTAATGCTTTAAANCTTCATGTGCAACGGATGAATACTATTGAATGGCAAATAATATGGCTCATAAGATGATTTTTGAAAAATTGTAGTAAGCAGTTGACCATCTTGATTTTCTATATGTAAATCTAGAAAATCGACCATTACACCAATATTTTCAGATAATTTAATATTTTCATCAAAATGATTCCATTTGTCGATTTGCTTAAATAAATGCCGGACAGGCCAGTTTATCGCTATAAATATATCATCAATATATCTAAAATAAAGTCCACCACTATTGTATATTTGTTTTATGATTTGCTGTTCATAAAAGAACATATAACAATTTGCAACAGTCAATGTAAGTGGTGAACCCATTGCACCTCCACGAATTTGATGATAATATTGACTTTCGTAAGAAAAATAATTATTTTTCATCACAAAACGACTTAATCTAATAATTGTTTCTGTTCTTAGCCCATTAATACGTTTTAATTTTAAATGGTCTAACATCTTTTTTAATGCTAGTACTCCTTCGGTTTGCGGCACCATTGTGTAAAGATCTACCACATCAATTGTACAAAATAAGGTTTCTTGACACATATTTATCTTTGACCATTCTTGCAACTGCTTCATTAATTCAAAGCCAGAAGTTATAGTCGTTTTTACGGCCATTTTATCAAATAATGGTCTTAATAGTTCATCAAGAAATTTTGAAATTTTAATTGTCGGATGTTTAAGGCCAGATACTATTGGACGAAGAGGAGTACCTGGCTTATGGGCTTTTGGTAAATAATATAAATGAGCCAGTTCGACTTCACATGGATTAATGCATAGTTTTTCATATTGTTTTTGAGTAATCCATTTGGCTAATCTTAAATCCAATAAATATTTATTGGTTCTTGTAATTAAATCTGGTAATGGATCATTTATACCTAAGCATTTATATGCTTGGGTTTTAGCCATATATTCTTCCGATTTCTTCTGATAATCTTCTAATTTACCTAAATGAAATACTTTAGATTTATCAGATTTACGTAAAATAACATTAGCCAATTTAAATCTATGCTTCAGTCTTTTCACAAGTCGACCATAATTTTTCTTTTTCTTAATTTTAGTACCAGTAATTTTTTGTGATTGCGATTGACTTGCTTGACTATTTACTGATTCAAGAATATCATTTATTCGACTTCCAATTATTCTATTATTATTATTAAGATTTTTATTTGATATTGAAACATCATGTAATGTTTGAAGAAGAACATCTAATTCAGCCATAAATTGTTGAAGAGGACGACCGGGACTCACCTTCTTACGAAGAAAACAATCTTGTATTTTACGTTTTAAAGTAGCCAACTCTGTAATACGCCGTCGGGCTGCTGTTTTTGGGTCATTAAATATAAATTTTGGACCTAATTTTAATAGCTGATGTTCTTCTTCATTTAATTGAATATTTGCTTGATTAATTATTGCTGGAGCAAGAAATCCTCGCCCAGCGAACGTATTACAGTCGGAGCGGTTATTTCTTCTTGAATTTGCAGATTGTTGGTATCGCCCTCGACTTGCTGTTCGGATAAAAAATGAAGCGATTGTTCAATTTCCAATTTCATTCTTTTTTCTCGTAGTTCATGATATTGTTTAAAGGCTGCATAGCCAGGTTCAGCATCAAAACCATCATCGTTATCTTAAGGAAATCTTTCAACGACACCTTTAATTTCATTTGATAAGATTTCATATTCTCGACAAGCTGATTGAACATATAATGTCATTGCTTGAGTGCGAAAATCTTTGGTAATTTGACGCATTTGATTATATGTGGCTTGTGCTTCATCTTGACTTATAATTGATTCATCAATTTTAAAAGAAAAATCAACTTTTTCAATAATTTTTGGAGGCAAATCTAATTCAACACGTTTGGACAAGATTTGATAATTTT